GATGCGTTCTGTGATTGACATCTGCCAGGAGGTCATCAAGCAGTCCAATGTGCAGATCCTTGTGCCCCCCGCACGCCCCGACATTATGCTCTTCCGTCCGGGGGCTGCTGACCTCGGCTTCCCTCTTGACATGACCAACGGTGCCACTTTGGCACCCAATGGCAACGGCATTGCTGGCATGCCTGAAGACGAGGCCACGCGGGCTGCGCTCACTGCGGCGCAGTCCTCCCTACCTGTTCTGCAGGGTGTGGACCGCCTGCCCATGGTGGCAGGACCTCTGTCCCCACCACTGCTGGCCTCGCCCTTCCAGAATGTTGCTGCTAGTGCCCCCACTTTAAGCACCAAGAGGGGCAGAGGGCGTCCCCGAAAAGCCAATCTCTTGGACTCCATGATGTTTGGTACCCCAGGGGGCCTGCGAGAGGCTGGTATCCTGCCTTGTGGCCTCTGTGGGAAAGTATTTACGGATGCTAATCGTCTTCGTCAGCATGAGGCTCAACATGGGGTGACAAGCTTGCAGCTGGGCTACATAGACATCCCACCCCCAAGACTGGGTGAAAATGGTGTCCCTGGTCAGGATGACCCTGATGCACCCCGAAAAAGAAGCAGGACGAGGAAACAGGTGGCCTGTGAGATCTGTGGCAAGATTTTTCGGGACGTGTACCACCTGAATCGGCACAAGCTGTCACACTCTGGCGAGAAGCCTTACTCTTGTCCAGTGTGTGGCTTACGGTTCAAGCGGAAAGACAGGATGTCCTATCATGTTCGATCTCACGATGGCTCTGTGGGAAAGCCCTACATCTGCCAGAGCTGTGGAAAAGGCTTTTCCAGGTAAGAGAGTACTTATAAGGACCATAGATGCAAACGGAGACCTAGGAAGTTGTCTTTCCTATGCCTTGGGAAACAAGAACAATTTGTACTTAGGGTAGTGTGACTGTTCCATTTTAAAATGGCTCGAGAAATGAGACTTCCATCATTTCCGCTGGGACGTTATTCTACAGTCTCTTGAAATGGTTTAAAAGTAATTAAGATGTAGAACTGGGAGTCAGCTGGCTTCTGGGTAACATTCCCAGCTTTGTCCCAGGCTTGGTGTATGCATGTCCTTGGGCAAATCAGTTGGTCTCTCCCTCAGAAGACTCTTCTGTGAAATGGGTATTGAAATAATTACCTACCTCACATAAGTGTCTTGAGGCTACTGATTTGCAGGTAGTTTGAAGGTGCTGTTGAAGTGCAAAATATTAATACATCTCAAGATTATTATTTTTCTCGTATCCATTTTAAATTTTCTTTTTCTTAACTTCCCTTCATTTCTCTTAGTTCGTAATGTTTTTTATCACCCAAATGTGAAGGAAGAGGTGAGATTTCAAAGGCTGCAGCATCAAGTATCTTTTAATACATGATCTTTGTGTCCTTTGGGTTTACATCCTTCTGAAGGGGATCCTGTTTCTGCCCTGCAACATACGTAAGATCTGTGCATTTAATGTTGCTGATTTTTTGTTGTCGCTGTTTGTGGGAGTTAATTTAATAAGTAGTTTTATACACGTAGTCGTGTTAGCGGTATCTTACAGTCTGCGTTAATGAATTTGAAACGCTTTTGGAAGTCTGACGCTCGTTTTGAGACTAGAAGTAGTGGGGGGAGGGGAATACACTCTGTGTTACTTTTGTAGCAGCAGTCGGTTTTCTCCAGCAGTCGATTTGCTCTAACAGGAGGGAGGAATCGAGGTATGAAAACAAATCAAAAGGCTACTAGGGCTAGAATTGCCCCAGCTATATAAATGTAGGAATTGTGCCCCTCCTAGCTCTCTTTTTGATAGAGGGACTTTTTGTTACTGAAATAAATTAAGAAAATGTAGACTCTTTTTTTTGTTTTTTAAGTCAGCAGTAATTGGGAGTGCATCTTCATAAGGACTGCAAATTTAGTGATGGAAAGTCATAAAACGAAGATTTCATCTGTAGCTAGAAGTAAAAGTATTTTTCTTACTGTAGTGCTACTGAGGATCATCTGCCAATTTTTATTATTTTTATTCACACTTAAAGATTTCTGCCGTTGCTGTATGAAAGGTTTTTGTCAACAAGGGAAAGTGAAAAGATACACGTTGAGTTCTCATTTTTCCCAGTAAGTTAATGTGAACAGGCAGGAATGCTGTTATACAAGTAAACAACAAAAATGTCTACACGTCTTTGTAAAATCGAAGTATGAATGAAAAGCAGAGGCTCTTTCTTTAAGTTTCAGTATTCAATCGTAGGAGCAGCCAAAGGATTTCGGAGCATGATGTCTGATTTTAGTATCCTTTCCTTCATTCAGTAGCGCAGCACGGGAGGTTGCTAGGCTTGAGGTACCTAGAAGGACCCCCAACCAGTCTTTCCGGTTACACTGCTCCAGCCCACTTGCGGGAGCATCAGGTTTAACAGCCGGACTGCGAAGTTCAGTCTATTTTCTGTCTGCAGTGCGTGAATTCCATCCCGCGCCCTCTCATTGGCGCAGCTGGGAAGTTGGGGGAGGAGAGGGTGGAGAACTTGTTTCCAAGCAGTTTTTGGCCTCATACAATGAAAAGCTTTCTTCCCATTAGGAGAAACTCCCACCAAGAAAATCTGCAGCTATTCAGTTCTCTCTTCTTCAAAGTAGGCTCTACTGATTGTGAAGAATGGTCTAACTTTTTTTCAGTAATAATTTGCTCTTCCATTGCACCTTCTAGTTGGGACCTTCAGAGCACATTATTTGTATGAATGCAGTCTCCCCACCAAGTTGTGAGTTAGGACAGTATTTTTTCATCTTGCTGGTGGAAAATGTGTCACAGCAACAGAGTTTAGAGTCAGTCTTTTTGCACAGAGGTGCTTAAAGTTGGCTTCTTACATCCGTGTTTGGGACATAAACCAAAAAGGTCTGATTTTCAAATATTCAGCAACTGTAAATCAAACTACCCTAATTGTCAAGATCTAAATAGGATTTTGGAAGGGGACATGCAGGCTTGAAAATTGTAGCTTGTATTTCCTGTTTTCTCTGATCATTCAGTCATAATTTCTTCCTGAGAAAATGCTGCCTTTTTAGGAAGTTGGAGAGGGTACTTATCAAGGTAGAGTCCCAGTTGTTGGTGATCTGGTTCTTGGAAAGTTAAATATCACTACATTTGTCATAGATCCACCACTGGGATCTTATCTTTTTTTTTTTTTTTTTTTGTTAAAATTGTAAGTATATTTTTAGTATTTGTTTTAAGTGTGCTTATGTGTATTTTCTTTTAAGGCCAGACCACTTGAATGGACACATCAAACAGGTGCATACCTCAGAGAGACCTCACAAGTGTCAGGTAGGAGCTGGAGGGGTTTAGGCTGATGTACGGGTAATCTTTGGCATTGCATTTATGTGTGCAGACAATTATGAAGTATCAGTAAAAATACCATGTATGTGTGAATTGGGATAAAATGTTTGTAAATCACAGTGACAGCTTTACATCCCTCCTGTCCCCCAGCCCCTTGTGTCATCTATAGCTTTGGTCCTCCTGCCTCCCTCCCCTTCTACCAGATGTTCTTCCCTACTGCTCTATCCCAGTCTCACCCTGGATCTCTCACCCAACCACCTTGTCCCTGGGCTTAGAGTCAACGTCACAGATGATTCCTTCTGCCGCCCCTCCCTTTTTTCTTTTATTGCAGTTGTTGCCAACAGGAGGCTCCAATGCTGACTTCATTTTTTTTTTAGAATAATTTCAAATAAAATTGGTAAATTATCATAACTTGCCAAGATACTCTTTTTTTTTTTTTATCACATAGCCTTCAGAACATTGCACTGAGCAAAATTGGAAGCTTTTTTTAATCCCAGGGAGAATATAAATAACAGCATCACAGTATCCTTTGTAATACAATGTCATAATATTGTATATAGTTTTTTACAGTTAATAAATTATTCATTAGGGTTTGAAAGATCAAATCAAGAAAGATACTTTGTAATTCAGTTGTAGAGAGATTTAAAAGGTGCCTGGAAAGTATTAATTAAAACCAAAGTTGTGAATCAGCTTCCACTATCACCCACTGCCTTCACATAGCTGTTGGGCAAACTTCTAAAACATTTGTTGGGCTAACAGTCTCCATGCTTGGTCTCTGAAAAAAGATTTATTTGATTATTTATTTAAAGAAAGTTGGAGCAAGATAATTTTCATTTTCTTTTAAGACAGTGAAGGCTAGAGGATTTTTTTCTTCTAAATTTTTTAACCACATTTTCTGAACCTAGTCAGTCCTACATGACTGCTGCCTCCTGATCTGTGGTTTTTTTTCCCATCTCTTGGCACACCTCCCCTGTGTTTCCTCCAAATTGTGCGAGTTCTGAAACATTTTGCAACTTTAATAATCCAGTAAACAGTTTTTCAGACATATAGAGCCATCTACAGGTTTCTGTTGACCTCCATATGATCTGTGGAAGCCCAGCACCTTTGAAAATCAGGCCATAGAGCGTTCACGTTGATTTAACTGCATATGCTATATAGAGCCTTAGATTGGTTTAAGCTTCTTAAGATGATTTAGGGGTTATAGATTTACCTAAATTGGAAAATTCGTCTCATAAAAAGACTTCATAATTTGCGATAGCAAGGGGTCTGGGTAGATGAACTGAAGATGACTACACGTTTTTTCCATAAGCATGTGTTTGTGTGCAAGTACGAAAATGAATGTTTAGGTCCCAACACAAACAGAAACTCATCAGTCTTTTCCCAGTTGATATCAAGGTTACTGAATGAACACAGTTTATGAATAATGTTGATAGACATGAATTGTCCTTTGCCAGCTGATACCTGGTAATTTTTTTTATAGTTTTCTGATTGATTTAAGAATATTAAATATAAACTCTGTAAGTTTATATTTAATCAGAGGATACACTAAGAGCTAGAAAGTAAGGAAATATGGAAGCTAAGATTGTACAGCCAAGCTCAACTCCGTCTCCTTGCACACATGTATTTTGTGATAGCAATTTCTAAGAACAGTCTTTGTCATTGTCTGTTGTTTAAAGTGCCATAATACTGTATGCATTGTTCATTTAAAAGGTATAGGCTATATGTTACAAGCATCAGGACAGAGTTGAGGTTGTCATTCAGGCTTGGTTTATTCTTGATTTTTGACTGCTTAACCTTGCAAAGTTAATTTTTCATGAATCTTAAGGTGTAGAAAATTTGTTAAAGCGTTGTGTGTCTTTGCAAAAAATATTTCATAATATCCTGTCAGATTTAGAAAGTCTTCTTAAATATGTACAGATCTGATATACGTGGTACAAACCACAGAAGGGGAGCTATCACACTGAAAATTTGTTTCAAATCTGAAAGCTGATATATAAATTTATAAAGTTCTCCTTGTGATTATCTCATAACCAGTAACACTTCTGTTCCATGACATTTATCTAGACACAGAATCTGGCCACTAAGAAGGAAAATAGCTTAATATTGGCATGTTGTTTCCCCATTTTCCATTCTCATTTTCCATTGATTTTGTTTGGCAAATTAGCTCTCCATGAGAGTAGCCTGAACAGCATTACGCATCCTTTTTGAATCTCTTGAGTTCCTGTTGAAAATTCCTGTTATTGTCATGCTTTGTTTATGTTTACTGCAAAAGAGAAGTACTCTGTCAGTAAACAGAAAAACTTTCCAGAATCCTCTGTCATACTGGCATTCTTGGAAGTGGTGCTCTGTTACGATTTAAACAATCCACTGGCCATTTACTTGAGCCCTCATGTATCTTTGCAAACCAATGGATATCTAATGTTTTGTTGATGTGGCATCATGGTACATCTTGGACTACCAGAACAAAAGCGTGAAGGTGTCAACCCAACTTCAGAATAAATAAAATTGACTATGAGAAGCAGGACAATTGTAAGCTGAATATCACTGCAACAGCTATAGTTTTCAGTGCTCAGCATGTAATCCTGCACTCATCCCCCTAAAATAACGGTTGTGCTTTACAGATATTTGGAAAACTATCCTAAGTTCCAGCACCTGTAGCACCTGATGTCAGACAAAGACCTGATTCCAGCTTTTTCATTACTGTTAAAATAGACTCGGAATAGGGGAGGCTTCCACAGAGCCAAGGCAGCTGAGAAATCGGATCCAGGAAGTTGCTTTGGTGTCCAGACAAGACACCAAATGACACTCCGGATCTTTTCCCGTAGATTGTTGCATTGGTGAATTTTTTTTTTTTTTTTTTTTTCAATCTGACAGTTGAGTCCTGGATGTAGGAGAAGGGGTAAGTCAGTTTTCTGGCCATAATGGGATAGCTCAGTTTGCTCACTCATTACGGGAAGGGGTGAAGCTGGGCTGTTGGCTTTTGAGTGTGAATGGTATGAAAGTTAGTCTGCTGTTTAGGAGGAAATGGTGATCTGAAAATCTGTGGATGAGAAAGAATGAGGGGAGAAAACAGAAGTTTGCTCCTTCTCAGAGACAAGAGACAGGTTGTTCTTCTGGCAATTTAAGTTAAAAAGAGAAAAATGCAGGTTAAATTAAAGCACAACTTTTGAAAAAGAAAAAGATCTAGTTATTTAAGTAAACCTAAAATTGGCATCCCAAGTCCAGTGCTTTTCCCATTGATTTCAATGCAGAATGAGTTTCTTCCTGTCCTAATTTCTCTTACTTCCTGCCTATTAGCAGGAAAATGGCAGCCACCATGGAATAAGCTCAGAGACATCCACATCCATAGAAAAGTTGAAACTTCAAGAGGTATTTCGTAAACAATGTTTTTTAAACTTTATATATATTCTTTTTGATCTATTTATATACCTGTGCAATGTTTGATAGGAAAGCACTGGAGAGTTTTCTTCTATGATTAACAATTAATGATAAATACTCAGCACTCATTTAGCACTTCACATCTTTTGTAAAATAAAACTTTTTTTTTTCTCTCTATACCTTTTATGAATATTAACTATTTGAACATTAACTTTGGGGTTTTCTTTAAACCTAGTCCTGTCTCCCATTGTTATGATTCAGCTAAACTGATTCTTGCTTTCTCCACTGGACTTAATTTTTTTTTTTTTTTAAGCTTCTTTGCAGATATATTTACTATATAGCTTATCCAAAGGTGAACTTTGCACAATTCAGCAGCAAGAGTGAGAAATCAAACACAGAATTATTATTATGTTGCCTTTCCCTAAGCTTTCGACGTGATAAATTCAATATGGGACAGAATCAGTTTTACTTCTGGCATCCCTGCATTTATGTGGTTTGTCTCTGGTCTGCTTCATCAACTAATGCACTCCCAATGCTTTTGTATGGACGCTTACTGTGGCTCAATATTTTTAGACTTACTGATGATGGATCTCTTGGCTGTCATCTTTGATTGTCTAGTTATATCTCTTTAGTTGATATCCAACAGATTGATCAGTATCAGTGCTGGAATTCTGCCTTAAATGTTTAACTCTAAGATCATTTTAGTAAGCAAAAGCTGCACCTGTTTTGCTCAGCGCTGTGTACTGAGATTTCAAATTAAGAGAAATCTTTAATGTTCAAGAATTTGCCTCTGAATCTTCAAGAATGTGCCTCTTAATCTTCACTACTTGTAATTTATGAATCTTTGTCTGGTGAGCTTAGTTAAACTGTGCGTATCGCAGAAATCCAGATAATGTTACTGTTGTCTTTTTAAGTTCATTAAGTCCTGATCCTCTGAGGTGCTAAGTCTTGTGCTTGCCTCAGCTCTATGGGAGTTTACCATACTTAAGCATCTCATAGGATTGAACGAGTGTAAAGTCTGTTGAAATTGATAGGTACTTTTCAGCTGCCTTCAATGTTTTTTGGATTAAGCTCTTGATTAACTAGATTATATAAAATTATATGGGTTATCCTCTTCTATATGATCAATTTCACTTATTTGAAGTTATAATTTTGTAATTTTACTAGGATTGTTGCTTTAACAAGTCTATCTCTGCTGAAACAGTTGTTTAATTACACACTGATACTTGAAAAGACAGAATATGTCCAGTTCCCAGGTCACTTAATAGTCTCGTATTAGCTCTTAGAGGGTTCTGGTTATACATCTTAAAACTGTGTTATATTATATAAAGGTGGTATAAACGAAACACTGTACACTCTTAATGTCACTGTTGCCTGCTTGATCTGGTCATTCTAGTGTATGTTTGCTTTTATTTTTCCTCTTGCACTTGTGAGCAATGGTTTCAGACTGTATCTTTAATAACTTGTACAGTGTATTGCTGGTGATTTATTTTCGTTCACATGTTAGAGATAGAGCAAGCCCTTCAGAACTGGCAGGCTGTTGTAGTAGGCTATACACATGTGTGCCTGCATAACCGCCAATTGCTGTGATTATAAAAATGGGAGGGAGCCTTTACTCATCATATGGATTATGTCTGGGAAGTGGGCAAGTAGAATCAATATTATCTTATGCCAAATCAAGCTTGTTTCATGGTAGTAAGTGGAATATGATACCTTGTTCAGGGGTAAGTTATAAACAGATTACAGTGTCATGCAGTTATTTTGATACCTGCTCAGTTCTGGGGCTTCACTTCTACAATTGTCTGCACTGCTACTGTGGATACCAGGATGGCTCTTCTACTGTCTTTCGTCATATTCTCATCCCAGGCAGTTCTCTGATGCTTTGTTTGTATGTCTTCATACTCCAAAGGGATTCTGTGTACTGAAGTTTGATCAGATCAAAGAGTAAAATTTAGGAAGATGACAGAGAGGACATGTTGACTGGTCTAAAGTGATTGTAATGGCTCAGTGAAATGGCAGAATTTACTGTAAATTGAATGAAGTGGTTTGTGCTATTTCTTTTGTTAAATATTACTTACAGTTTTAGTATCTTCATCCTCAGAGAGGAGCTAAGGCCTTACAACTCTACCTTGATTTAAGTTTTACTGTCTGTAGTATGTTAGAGCTGTTTTCTTGCTTTCTTAATCCTTTCAAGTAGTAACATCACATGTTGTGCAGTATGTTGGTAATCTGAATTTTTTATTTGTGGGAAAATGGCTTGTGCATCATGTCAGTCTAAGGTATTTACTCTAAAGAATACTAAATATATTCGACAGTATCAGTGCTTTTAGCAGAGTTGATGAGTCACATGATTCTCATTATACCTGCAGACTTGTAATGCTTCCTTTGCCACTCGTGACCGACTGCGCTCACACCTAGCATGTCATGAAGACAAAGTTCCATGCCAGGTGTGTGGGAAGTACTTGCGAGCCGCATATATGGCAGATCATTTGAAGAAACATAGTGAAGGACCAAGCAATTTCTGCACTATCTGTAACCGAGGTAATGAAAAAACTATTTTTTTTATTTCAGTGGGATGGGACAACACTTGAGGGAAGCTGTAAGGCTACGTGACTGTCTGCAACAGGAGGAGGTTATACCATATATGTGTACATATTCTTCGTTTTTCTTATTGAATGCTTAACCTTGAAACTGATGGAGCTATAGTTCTGGCCTTTTTACACGGCTGATAGTTCCTGAAGAAACTCAGTTTAAATCTGAAGCAAATTGTTTCTAGACAGTTTTAAGAATTTTATTTGCTAAATAGCCAGATCCCTATAAAATAATCATGGTAAGTTGCCTTGCTGCTATTCACCATACACCTTTTTTTTTCTATACCTGGTTAGACTTGAGTCCTTGCGTTCAGTTTGGAAGAAGAATCTTTGAAATACACACCAAGTTGAAAATTATACACTGTACATAAAAAAAATCTACATAATATTATCAGTCTTGCTTAACCTCCTGGTGCAGCAGTAGAGTCAAGGTGCTTCTCCCTCTTAACCCAAGAAATTGCTTTGTATTAACATACATTTCTAAAACAAATTTTGTAAAGAGCACTAGAAATGTGCTTTACCTTTATTTGTACAAATACAGCTTTTCACAGAATCACAGAATATCTCGAGTTGGAAGGGACCCATAAGATCATTGAGTCCAACTCCCTGCTCCTCTCAGGACTACCTAAAACTAAACCATATGACTAAGAGCTTTTGAAGCTTTTCCATCTGTTTGTGGTACTCTTCAGTTGGAGAGAGTTGTAACTTTAGGCTTCGTGGGACGTAAGGCAATAATTTTGACTTATCGGTGTCTTTTTTTTTTTTTTTGAATGAATACACAACTTCAAAATATATTGTTGGCTCACACAGGCGTACATACCTAGTAAGTGTAGGAAGAGGTTGCTGCCGTGTTTTGGGATCTTGTTTTCTCTGATGAGTCATTTTTTTATGATGTGTGTTCCCTTCTCTAATTTAAGAGAGGTGAAATCTTTTGAGAGAATAAAGCTGTTCTGTTTGTAATGTGAGGACTGTACAGGGAGCTGTACAGTCCTAGGATGACTAGGAGTTGATGAGCAATGAGAGACATTAAATTGCAAGGGAGGTATTTCCAGTAGTTGAACTGTCTGTTAGGTCCTGAAAGCAATGTTAACAGTTTGAGTGGAAAAGGTGTCTGGGTTGAAAATCTTCAGATTCTGAAGCTCTGGGTAGATGGTACGAAATGAAGCTTGGCCTCCTCTTCAACTGAAGGCCTATCTTCTGAAAAATTGCGTAAGCTTATCCCGATTCTTTTTGTGATAACAATGTGGAAGACGCTATCCAAGATCCAGGTACTATCCTGTTCTCCTTCAGTTGAACATGGTGCCAAACAGAAACTCATATGGGTTGGGAGGAATTGTATTGTTTCCAAGATTTGTACGCTTGCATTTCAACTTAACTACCACTGGATGTCACTGCAGCTCTTTCGAAATTCAGCCAGCGTGACAAAGACAGATCTGGCATTCAAACAATGAAATGACTGAATGGTTTATTCACATTTTACAGGTTTAAATGTGCAGTGGAAATTTAAATAAAATAGACACTTCTCTGTAGAAGGATAGGGAACCCGTGGTACAGCAAACTTTAAGCAACTGCTTTCTTCTTACAGTTTGTGTATTTCATATGTGTTGCCAGAATTTAGTCTGCTGTGAATTTCAGTTTACATCAGCACTTAGAAAACGTAACTAATCTGGTGAATTATTGTTAAGTATCTACCCAGTGTTAAAATTCATAGGAAAGGGAAGTTACGAACTGGATTTGTCAAACAACTGTGTTATGAACTCATTGTTATATGCTGTGAATTTTGATTATAGATTTATGAACCATGACAGCAGAATTTTTAATCCAAAGTGTTCTAGAATCAAATTATAATGTTCATTGTTTTAAGTAGATTTCTTTTAAATTGTAGAGCCTGGCAAGACGAAGTATAGTGGAAAATTTCTGGATTAGAAACATCTATTCCATAGGCATTGGTGCAGTCAAAAGCTACACGCCATCCCTCTGACTGCAGTTGTGCTGTGGCTATGGTGCTTGTGCAATGGCATTTTGTTTTATTCTTCCCTCAGCTAATGTGCTGGTGTATTTTTGAATTGGAACTTAGCTAGTGCTGGATATAGTAATTGTCAAACAAGAATGCTCAAGCTGCTTGTAGAGAGGATTTTGGATGTTGGCCCACTAGGAAAAAAAAAAAAGTGGATGAAAAGGTGACTCTTGCACAGCTGAACATATCCTAGTGTTAAAGACAGAGCTTAGAAATGCTCAGTTTATCCCGTCAGACTGAGGGCTTTTCTGTGGAGCTTAATCAAGTGTCTCACGTTCTTTTAAAGGTTTAGCGGATTTAGGAGATGGGGAACTCAGTACCTGACTGAAAGCAGTAGCCACTGGTTTGCCATGTCATGCGTGTACCCATTTGCTGAATTTATTTATTTATTCATTTTACAAAATGACAGTATAACGTCTAAAAATTACCATCTGTGGTTTGATGTTTTTCCAGGTTATTTTCTTTCTTAGGGTCTTTATGCTTAGAATAATTATGGAAGCAATTAAATCTTGTTAAATCAGGGAAGCTGTACAATGGTTTTTTTCTGGGATTTTCTGTTTTTGTTTTTTTTTTTTTTTTTAAAGAATTCATCTAAAATGTGCTTATGAAAACTAATCCTTACTTTTTAAGACAATTCTCTTTAGTCAGTTTAAATAAAAAAGACCTGCTCCTGCTTTGTTCTTACATAATCTTCTATTACCATCCTTAGAAACTTTATTTGCTTGTGTGGGCTTTTTCAAAGAACTTAAGAGATTAATGACACTGGCAAATCTAGAACTGGTACTTTGTAATAACATGTGCAACTCAGAAGATTCATTTTCTGTTTCAGACACATATACATTGTTTGTTTCACAAACAAATCAAATTAGTTAGGAGAAGGGTAAATATTCCAATCACAGGTTAGATGGATTTTTTTTTTTTACAATAAGATGAATTCTTGTCTATTTCAAGGTGGATACAGAGTTGATTAAAGCAAGACACATTCTCCAGCTAAATCCAAGTTAGAATTTTTGAAAAAGGAGCATCCTGCAATTCTTTCTATAGTATGTCTCCTTATCGATGTTATCTAAGAGATCAAGATATAGATCCCATTTATATAAAGCAGATCATTTCCTCTCTATACATGTTTTTAATGTTGGTTCCTCTGGTATGACGAAATAATCTGCTCTGCAAAGCTGAGAGATGTATATGGGTAAAGCAATAAATACATTCCTTCTTTGAAAAATACTGCCACTTTATCCTCTGCATTAGCCTGACTTTGTTTTAAAAGTAAAGGATTATTGCCTATGAATCCCCCATTGTCCTAGGACAGACATTCATAATTAAGGTCTGGTGGGGAAAAAAAAAAAAGGCCAGTTGCTAAGTGCTTCAGAAAAAAATTAGGATAAAAACAACAAAAGAAAAAAATCTCACTTTAAATAGTTTCCTATGAAGCAGTTGGCATTCTTACTGCTTTGATGGAAGTTGATGACTCACATGTTCATCTGCCAAGTGCATAAAGGGGAGCTAACACACTTTGCCGGCAGTTTTCATTATATAAAACAATGTACTCTACAAATAGAATTGCAGAGTTCAGAAAAAGTATTGTATAGCAGAGATTACAACTTCAGATTTTCCTGTGTCCAGTCGTAGTATTGAAAAACACTGAATACCTCTATGTAGTCCTTTTTTAATGGTTGACAGTGAGATTTTAATGCATTACTACAGAAGGAGGCTCATGTCAGCATGCATGTGGTTATTAGACACATGTATGAAATAAGGAAAGTACCTTGTAATTGGAAGTATCACCATTAGATCTGTACATTGTGTCCTTTTCTCTACCAGTCAAACACTGATTCTTTCCATGTCTACAGTGAATTTTCGGTATTTAGAAAAATATATTCTCTTTGTGGCCCAGTGAGATATTCAGTACAGCATTTTGTGTCTGAAGGTACGTCTTGCACTATTTTGGAGGATAATATCCTTACGTTAATTCCCTGGATGACTTGGCGTAGGTGATTCTGCTCCATTGTATTTTGAGATTCTTATATTCTTGGTTTCTTCAGTTGTGATCTGTCTACTTTGCTATACTTTTATCTTCAACTCAGGGGTCTACAGTAACTATCTCTTGTTCATTCTCAGCAACCCGCCCTTTTTCCCCTTCAGCACGTTGCTGTGGAGTTCTGTCTTGCTCTGCAGGTCCTGTAGATATAATTCTTAATAACCTCTGAATACTCTTTGATCCTGGCTTCGAAGAAAAGTCTGGGTAAAGGGATATTCTGTTGGGGAGGCACAGGGAATTCTAGTGTAAAGCCACATTCGTTATTAAATTCAGCACCTGAAACTAACAGCTGCTGTCTCAAAATCCACCCCAGAGAGGTGTGCCAGTATTGGTTTTGCGTCCTTCCTAATATATTATATATCATCAAATGCAAATGCAGTTATATAACTATAGAAATGGCTTTACAGTAGTATATCTATTCATATTTAAAGTGAATCATTGGTATGAAAGTTCTCTTGCAAGGGCTTGTGCTGTAAATGCTGTATTGGTTTAAAAAAATCTAGGTCTTGGGTTTTCTCTATCCGGAAAGGGAACCTGGAACTCTATGGCTGTGACAGTGAAACTTGTGTTGTGTTCTCAGTTGTTAAAGGAAAATGTTTCTAACATGGAAGTGCCATAATATTCTGTTCAAAATTTAAATGAAAATTAAGATGGCTGTTGATAGGCTTACCTGTGTAGGAAGTCTTTAAAACTCTGTCCTCCTTGTGTCTTGTTTATGGTCCAAATGTACTAGTACTAATTGCAAATCTTATTAAAATCTGAATTTAAAAACATTCCAAAATATATGTGAGATAACTTACTGCATTAAAGGAAAAGGCCATATCTGTGAGACTTCAAAAACAATTTAAAAAAGCACATGCACAAATGTAAAAAATTGTTTCGATCAGAGATCAGTTGTTTGAAATGCATGTTTTTCATTTCAGTGGTTTGGGCTTACAGATCAGAGTTAATAGAAATACTGAAATTTCATTTTAATTTTTTTGTTAACTGCAGACAAAATATAGGTTTTAGTATGTTTTTTTAAAACTCACAATGGGCTGAATGAAGGAAATATTTTTCAAAAATTAGTATAGAACAAAATTGTATACCTTAAAAACTCAGTAGTTTTAGCTCTCTGTCTTCTAGGAGTCACTATAAATGCTAGAAACCTAATGGGAAAGCACACTAAATACCAAAGAGGGTTGTTACCAAATGGCATTCCTTCAAATCTTAACAGCATAAAAGAAACTAATTTGAACTATCTTCCAAAGTATTATAAGATGATGAAGGCATTTTTACTTAAAATAAACAAACCAGCACAAAATGGTGAAGAGACATGGGTGCCTTTTTGTATCATGTCTCTTCTGCCTTTTTTTACCAGAAAGTTTCATGTCATCTGCTAGGTTTGCTTACATAGGATTTGTTTCTCAAGGAGGCTGTTCTTTCATCATGACTTCCAAAAAGCAAATGCAGTCTAATGAAAGGTATGCATTGCATTCATTGCCTGATTATGTTTAGGAATCCTCCTTGAGCATGTTGTAGGTAACCAGAAATCAAGCTAGAAAAATGGCAACTTTGTAATAGGGAGTAGGAGCAAGAGAAAGAGTAAAAGAACAGGGAAGGCAGATGTGTGTCTTTGCTGGTGGCAGGATCTCATCTCCTTTTATCTTGTTTAGGTTTCTCCTCTGCCTCCTACTTAAAGGTCCATGTTAAAACCCACCACGGTGTTCCCCTTCCCCAGGTCTCCAGGCACCAGGAGTCCATCCCGAATGGGGGAGCAGCGTTCCACTGCGTCAGGACCTATGGCATCAAAGGCAAGAGACTCGCTGCTCTGCACCTTGCTGCTCTGTGCAGAACTTTGTGTTGCGGGATGTTGGGCTGGGCATGAGAAGGGGGAGGGAGGAAGGACAGGGAAAATACTGGAAAGAAGCTTAGGGAGATGCAGAGAAATTACGTAGCATCACATAGTATGTAATATCTGTCCTTGGATAGCCCATAACAAGTCTGGGGGAAGGAGATGGACCCGTGAGGGTATGTGAATTTTTGGTAGCTGCTTTGATTTTAGAGATTGAAAGAGCCAGTTAGTTCATCTTGAGCATCTTCCTAGGAGCAGTCAGTATTTGGATTTTGGATGAGGGGTGCAGATCCATGACGGTTCCTTAGTCCCACTATACTTGAATCTCGCGTCAATCAAACCATGTTTCTGCTTTCTGGTGAAGGAAGGGGGAGCTGCGGAATGCAGTTCATAAAGATTCTTGAGCGGTGAAAGCAATATTCATCCTCAGGTTGATGAGGATCCATGGAACTATCTGTAGTTAAACTTACACTTTTTAATGCTGTTTTTGGGGAGGAGAGGTAGAGGGTGATAATAGTACTTTTACTTTTTTTGTTTTTTAACCTGCATTTAACTTCCTGGAAAAAAAAAAAGAAAAAAGACATTATTGTAAGAATAGCTAAAGAGTATTTAACTTCTGAATATGTAAAGTTGTGTGTTAATCTATGTAGGATAGCTTGCTTTTTGCTTCTTGATTTGAGCTGTCAGTATTCGTGGTGAAGCTGAAACATCAGAAAATTCTTCAAAACCGTGGTTGTCCCAAAAAGACACCCACGAGAACACAGCAGGCTGGGTTAAACAAAGTCTGTGCCAGCAGAAAGCTACAGTTGTGTAATTTTTTTCTGTTGAAGTCCTGATAGAGTTACTACAGAAGGCCTTTGGTTCTGGGTGGTGTGCTGACTTAACAAGAGATTTACTCCAGCTCAGTGGTGTATTGATTTCATGCGTATCCTGTTTGGTTTGTAATGCTGAGTCCAGAGCAAATCTGTCTTTTGGGTTGTGCCAAGTGGTTCTTTGGTCTTTTAGAATTAATAGTAGATACAGCTTATTTGTATTCAGAGACTTGTTTAGGGAGTACGTCTGGATTTCCCACGCTCATTCACATGCGCTGAGCAAAAAGTGTGGACAAACTTTCTTGGCATACTGCCAGAGGAGAATGGGGAACACTCCAAACATACCAATGGCTTTGCCAGGATATGTATCCAAATGACTTAAAATAGTGTCCCTAACCTCCCTCCTGTTTCACACTACAGTATTTAAAGATGCAACAATTCTAGATTATGAAGTTCACTTCTAACAGCGTTGCACTTAATTGTAAAAAAGAGTTCCTCAAGACTGAATGGAATTGCACTTCTTAAATTGCAGTAGCTCACTGCTGGTTTGCTGAGTATTTCCAGGTTTCTTCACATCTTGTTGCAGCCTGTTATGCTTTATTAGGTTTCTAGGCTCTCCCCCAAAGTATCAACAATATTTCAGAAGTGTGGGAGTGACTTTTACAGTTAAAAACTCATTATTAGGTCCATCCTTTTGTAATGCCTGAGGTATAAACATTGTGATACACCTTTGGGATTCAAAAAAGTATTACATAAACCAGAGACCCATTATGGATGCATTCAGTATCATGACAAATCCATAATAAAAACCTGGATGTTGCTCTGATAGCAGCCTGGTGGTTTGTAAAGAGGACCTATGGTCAAGGGGTTTAGAATATGAGGGATTGCAGTGTTAAGTGTGTATCATACTGTCATGACAGGCATTAATGAAATCAGTGGTAACCAATATCATCTATTTGGATGCATGTTAAATAATTTTTTGGGAGATAAGCTTCTGAAAACTTCTCTCTCTTCTTTTTCCCGTAGAAGGCCAGAAATGTTCACATTCGGACCCGATTGAGAGTTCTGATTCATACGGAGACCTCTCTGACACCAGTGACCTCAAGACTCCTGAGAAACAGAGCACCAATGGGTCCTTCTCGTGTGACATGGCAGTCAGCAAAAACAAAATGGAGACGGAAGGAGAGAAGAAGTACCCTTGCCCTGAATGTGGCAGCTTTTTCAGATCAAAGTCTTATCTGAACAAACACATACAGAAAGTTCATGTCAGGGCCCTTGGTGGCCCATTGGGGGACCTCGGTCCTGCTCTAGGATCCCCCTTTTCACCCCAACAGAACATGTCTCTCCTGGAGTCATTTGGGTTTCAGATCGTCCAGTCAGCATTTGCATCATCCCTAGTGGATCCAGAGGTCGACCAGCAACCAATGGGGCCAGAGGGGAAATGAGATGAGTTTGATCTTAACAAAGCAAAGCAGCAGTCTGGCTATAATGATAAGATGCTGTGAATGAAAGAGGAAATAATGAAATTCGGTTCTATAGCTGAGAATTTTTTATTCATTTTAGCTTCCCTCTTTGTCTCATGCCCTACCCCACCTTTAAACCTTCACTGAGGAGAGGGAGAAAATGCTTCTTAGCTGACAAATTACAGAAGATGGTGACCTTGAATAGGAGACATGACCTAAAACACCAAATGGAGCTTTAGAGCCTGCTGCTGGTGTTTCATCATGATCATCTAGAATAGACAAAAGTTCCAGCACTGATCTGAGAATTAGACAGTCCTAGTGACCGAGGCACCTGGGGAGCTACAGCTACAGGGATACAGCATAGCTACAGCTATGCTTTTGTTCTCTCTCTATTCCCCACCTTCCCCAACCTACCCCAGAAAAACACTAAGTTTTAAAAACAGACCCATTATTGACCCATTACTGAATATAACATTAAGTAAAATGCCCCGTGGTACCTAGCAGGTTGCAACGCAGTTGTCCTTTTAAAAACAGAAAAATGTAAAGAAGGTGAGAGAATTTGAACCCCTTCTGCCATTTGTGAGGCTGTGAGTGCTGCAGCAGGACTGAACTGCTGAGAAAAATCACCATTCAGAACAGGTTGTTTTTGTTACTTTTAACCATTAAACTTGCTGTCAGGTTTTTAATTCTCTATTATTATTATTTTAGGACCTGTTGTAGTGAATTGCTACTGAAAAGCCAGTCTAAGGCGATACACAGAGCACTCTTAAAGCAGCAGTCACATTAGGGTTAGTATTAATTTTTTTTTTAGATGTACCATAATTAATAACTTGGCTAGTTGATTGTTTCAAGTCTATGAAAGAAATAGTTTTATTGGGGGGGGAGGGGGGAAGGAAGGAAAAATACCATTGCAGTCTGGTTGACTGGTGCTCATTTTTCACGTGGGGACCTAGGGTATAAACACGATCAGCTATCGGGTTAACACTATGTACCACTGACTTGTTTAGTGCGAATAAACCCAGGGATTCACAGAGTGATTTTGGTTTAATTGGATTGGCCTCTATTAAAGAAGTTAGTATGTTACTTTGCATCCCCTCGTTTTGTCTGGTTTTTGAGCAATTTAGCCACCTGTCCAAAAGGTGTGCAAATGAGAACCAGTAAATAAGACATTAATCCCTCTCTACGCTGTACTGTATTTTCAGTGACCTGGGCTTTTTGGCTACAGTCATGCTCTCCTGATCTGCCTCTAGTCAGGTTTGCAAAATCCAGTCTTACTCCTTTCTTTTCCAAAGAAGAAGGTTTATACTATAAGAGATGGGAATTGCAAATAGCATATCTCTGGAAAAGAATTGATTACAAAATGCAAAGAAGCTTGGCTCTAGGCTGTTGGAGGTTCCATTTAATCTGAAAATACCACTTGTGTAGAAATGATGTCCTTTCTTGGCCTTCCCTCTCCTCCCATGTAACTTGTCAAGGTCTTTATGTACCAAATCCAGGTATAAATGTTGTTTAATTAACACAGGGTTAGGAGTTAGGAATACTCTGAGTTATAATTATGGTTCTGCTGTTGATGCTCAAGGTCACATAGGACAGCTCACTGAATTTATTCCTTTATTTCCCATCTGTGAAAAGTTTTCTCACAATTGTTGTGAGGGTTAATGAGCAAAGGTTTAAGCAGTGATTTAGTAAACTAAGTTGCTGTGTGTACTGAATGTTTCTAGAAAGGCCACTCTGAAGAGCCCAAGTCCCACACCAAACTTGCATTCTGTGAAACAGTAATTGTCTCCATCATTGATACAGTGCTGGAGCAGGATAGACCACCTCAGACCAGGACCGACATCCTCTGCAGGAGATACGTCTGTATTAAATGAGAACGTAGCCACAACTTGCGTTGCCCAGGTGCTCCTAATCCAAACCCTGCAGCTAATGCATAACTGAAATAAGACACATTCCTGTTTTGTTTTTATGCTAGAAATGTAGAGCCTTTTGTAAGTGTATGGATTTTGGAATGACGTTTTAAATTCTACAGACTTAGAAGCCCCAGCTTCTCTCTTGTAAGAAGCTACTTTTTTGTACTTGCTTTTGAGTATTATAAACCAAGGATGAATAATCAATGGCTTTCTCTTTATAGCACCAGCACTTTCTAAATTGAGAGCATGTTGCAGTGGACTTGATGTTTTGCTATTAATCTGTGTTGGGAGACTGAAGGACATGTTCTTCTCCATTCATCTTCCCCCAGAATCCCTGGAATAGGTATGAGTCTCATTTAAAAGGGGGAAAAAAACCCAAACCAAACCAACCCACCTTCAAACTAAAGCTTCATGGAATTGCTATTGCTGTACTGGTAACCTTAAGTTGACAAGTAGAAACAGGATGTTTCAAAAAGGTAACAAAACATTTTAAAATACCTTACAAATCTAGACCATGATGAGATAACCTTGTAAGCTGCTGAGCAAGTCAAGACAAAGCAGGCTTTCCAGTCAGCATAACAATTCATTGGGATTAGCAAATGCAACTGCTGTCACTCTGATTTACTAATAGCTCATATTTAAGCCACCAGGAAAATTTCTGTTGAGTTGAAGCTGTATTCTGAAAGATATAAGAAGTTTGTGTCCCCGATGTTCCTATATGCATTCAAAGAGGGTGCACTAGTCATAAAATTCAACTCCAAAAGCCAAGTCCAGAATATAGTATATTTTCATGCTACGTTTAGTTCCGCTGACTTTAGTGTTACTAGTGGGTTGAATTTTGGCCATTTGTATCAGAATTTAATTTTGAACGCTACAGAATTTGAGCTGATGAAACAAATGAAAAGCCTTGAGCTAAGAAGGAAGCCTCTAAAACACTAACTGTGCATTTTGCTTGTCAAAGAAAATGCTTACTAAGTTGTCATGAATACATTGAATGAAAGCTACTTACTTCTCAGTCTAGTGGACAGGGAAACAATTAGGCAGGAAGTTAACAATCCTGAAATGACAGTTCTAGATCATGCTAGTGTAAATGGGAGAGATTTTCACCAACACAAGAGACTGGTGCAGACTAGTGCCAGCAGTAGGTTGGGCAGATCTTTAGCAGTGGTGTGTTTTCAGAGCTTTTTGCTTCCTTGGGGGCATATTCCATTCTGGATAATAATTTAATCTACGTGTAAATTCTTTATATTCTGTACTTTGGGAAATGTCTGCTTCTCACATCACAGATCCAAACAGAAAACTCAGCCTCAGAAGTTCAGAGTTCAAAGAGAAATACTTAACATGCCCTGAGCTGCAACATCACTTAACTTGTTTGTATTACATTTTTAATTGGCATATCAGTATATAGATGATAGTTCTCATTTTGGGCTAGCCCTCCTTTCCTTGTCATCTTCTTTGGTGGGACTGCAATCCAATGTTTGAGTCAGTGTACTTCTCTGCCAAGAAGGGAACTTCAGTTCGTACAAATTTTGATAATCAGAGTTTAGTATTTGTTTGTATTATAGGGAGTCCTTAAACCCCTCAGCTGAGGCTCAGGCCCTTGTGTATTAGGTATGATGAAAACATCTTCAACCATCTATAATCTAAACATTAAAGATAGACAAGAAAGGAATAGATGCTTATAGATGAATGAGTGAAATAAAGATGAAGGACTAAAAACCGCTTGCATGCATGCTTAAGTGTTGTGTTGAATGTAGGGGCACAGACATCATCAGGCTTCTTTTGTTGCCTAAGTAATTTCTCTTTATGTACTGTTAATCCACAACAAATGCATGCTAAAGCAATTTAATGTGAATTTATTCCATACTGAGTTAAATTAAGTGATATTACCTTGCATTTGTCATGTGCTAGATGTGTGCAAACAGACTTACTAGTGTGGCTCACCTGATGCATGGTAATGTGGTGTGCGTGAGCTCTCAATCTTAAGTGATTTGCCCATGATGACATGGGAAATTGATAGCAGAACCAGAAATTGAACACAGATTTTCCTTCTCTCAATCCAGTGCCTTAACTATAGTAGGGCAAAGTATTATATCTTGGGGGGGATGATTCTTTTGTTTATTTTTTAAAGCCTAGAACTATAAGATGGTGTGGAGTAGGTCTTCCTACCAATATTTTGAATAATTGCAAATGCCCAGTCACAATTTTAGACCTGTTTGAGTGCCAGTGACTTAGGGAATATTTGTTACTTCCCACGTATTCCCTGAAATTGTTGTTCCTCCCTCAATTGCTGTCAGCAGTAAGGAATGACTTGAACAGAAGAGCTGTGTAACTGAATGTCTATCTAACTCAACTAATTGAATTAATAGTATGAAAGCTAACCTAGATTTTGTAGGCTCTGTTGTAACTTTAGTGTCTTGTTTTTTCACTAAATCTTTGTTCCTAGAAATCAATATCTGAACTTACGTCTTGAGTCTGGAGTGGGGTACCACTTTCAGCTTTAATTTTTTTTTTAAGGTGCTTGCTTGAGGAAGTAGATGCCAAAGTAAACTTCAAAGGAACTCCAGACTTCAGTGTTGGAAGAATCAATGGAGAGCAAGAGCTCTCTTTGGGTTTCATGAGAGATAAACGGACAAAGTAAAAAACAGCTACCAAAATGTTAAGTAATGAAACAGGAAAGGCTTTTCTTTATCACCCACAAAAATAATCAGATATTTTCAATTGTTCAGCATGGCAGAAACTCTGAGAGCAAGTGCCAAACAAAACCATGGAATATGTTGGCTTTTTCAGCATTATAAGCTGAAGAGCATTATGAGCATTATGAATATTTTAATGTAAATTAAGCCAGCTTTGTACTGTTCACCTTTTGCCTGGGCACAGTACCTGAGTTTTAATTGAATAGAACATAAGCTCACGGTGAATCTCTGAGCTTATGCTCTCAGTTCCATCCCTGAGAGACAAAACAAAGAGGGGAAAAAAAGCAAGAGGAAAACTTAAAAGGGAAAACAGATTCTGGAAGATTCCCATGTCTCCTGAGAGAGTCCTGTTTTTTATCCTGACCATCTATTTCAAAACAAGATCCTTAGCTGCTGTGAATGAGCCTTTGGGAACAGGTTTGGCTTTCAGCCCAAGCTGCTGCTCCGTGTCCCGGTACGAAGGCTGTGTGTTCTGGAGCACTGAGCCTGGGACGGGCAGGGAGGCAGTGCTCCTGGGCTGCAGCCTGAGGCCACATTTACTGTTGCAGTCAGCAGCAGCAACATTGGCATAATG